TTGTTGTAATTATTCTTGGTGTACAAGAGGAGGAAAGGTGCTTCACTGGTTGACTTGGGGGAAACCGGACCATATGATGGTGGTGGAGGAATACCTCGAAGTCACAATTTTGAGATCTTGTGGTGTTCTTACACAACTGCTGTCTATGGGATCGCTTTTTAAAACATGCTACTGTTCAGTTTTTATCATGAATGCCTTTCCAAGGACAGTGAGTGGTTTTACACACTATGACATTGTTTCCATGGCAACTAATGTATTTTAGCAAAGAGAGACAGCTAGAAGTAGGCTAAAAAGGACAAATACAGAAATGGCACAGTGTAAAATGTGGGGCAATGTGTGTTGTAGTAAAGATCTTCCCCCCTCCCCGACTTCTTGTTTAAGAAAACCAGCGTAACTAGATCTTAACTTCTTCACTCTTAATAATAAAATTTTTACTGTACCCAATACTGTCTAGTATTTTGCTGACATAATTGCTTTAGTTGGTACTTGGGGTTTTTTTTTTTGTTTGTTTATTCTAACATGATGCTCATTCTGTCACCACATTTGTGATTTCATCCATTTTTAAGATTAAGTTATTTTCACCTTGCATTCTCACGTAGAGACCACCTCGTTGCTGTGCTGCCCTTTAGTGCAGTGTTTCTTGAGAGGGTTGTCTACACCACCTGTCTCTACACAGTGTTTGTTTAAAAAAAATCAAAGCCATTCCCCTCAGACTTCCACCCCACTGCTTGATCGAGTTGGTCACACCCTCGTCCTCCAAGGCTATTACAATTACCTCTTTTGTTTATTTGGAAGCTAACATGTATAAATTATACATTTCAAATAATTCTACAAAAAAATGAAGCCACATCTATTAACATTACATAAAACCAAGGGATCATGTTACTCTGCTTTGTGCATCTGAATGGGCTTGGATTATTTTGTTACGTGATAATAATCCCCCTCCCCCATGCTCTTAAATAACCCCAAGGGGCGGATAGCGGCCAATTTCCTATTTAATATTAAGAGAAACCAAGGGCTGGATCTTATGACTTAAACAGATAGCAAACCAGTCTATGGGCCAGATTATACCCTTGTTTATTATGTTTCATTAGGCCACATGAGGCATTTTAAAAATTAAATGAACATTTTTAAATGGGGCATTTTTGTATAAAAACTGAGATTCCCTGTTTCTTTTGAAAAAAATTGGAAGGTCTGACAAAACCAAGCCTGTGTTCTCTCATGACAGCGGCCTCAGGGCTCTTCAGCTCACCCAAGCCCCACCTCACCTGCTTCATTCATTTGTTTTACCTGCCTGGCCCCATGGGTTATTTAATGTCACCCTTCCTGCACCCCTGCCCCCACCCAGTCACAGAACAAATAAATAACAGAGCTAGAGATAGAACTGGATCCAACCCAGACGCCTGAGTAGCTCAGTTGGTTGAGCGTCTGACTTTGGCTCAGGTCATGATCTTGCAGCTTGTGGGTTCACGCCCCACATTGGGCTCTGTGCTGACAGCTCAGAGCTGGAGCCTGCTTTGGATTCTGTGTCTCCATTTCTCTCTGCTCCTTCCCTGCTCATGTTCCGTCTCTCTCTCTCTCTCTCTCTCTCTCTCTCTCTCTCTCTCTCTCTCTCAAAAATAAACATTAAAAGACTAAAAAAAAAAAAAAAGACAAAACAACTGAATCCAACCACTTCCTCCTTGGCTATGGACCAAAATTCTGTGTTTTAGAGAGTAATTCATAGGTCAGTGGTGAGAAGCATCCTTAGGTGATGTAGCCTCCCTTTTGTGCCTTACTACTTGAAATAGATCCTGCAATTAATTTTGCTAGGTACATTGTTCATATGGAGGGTACCCTGCCCCCCACTGTTTGCCTCTATGCAAAATAAGTTGTATGTGCCGTCAGTTGTGACATGCAAGTTGGAGGTGCTGTAGTAGCGGTTAACATTTACATAAGCATAGAAATACTGGCCAGAAGGGGAAAGTTCCAACATCATAACAGGGGTTCCAGATTTTCCAGATTTTTCATTGAGCGTATATTACCTTTTCAGTGAAGTAAATCAATGTTTGTATAAAAGAAATAAGAATGAGATTATACGACAAAGTACATCTTCCTAGCATAGGATACCCAAAGGCGATCCCTAGCCACCTTTACTGTCCTCTCCCAAGCTAGACCCTTTCCTTTAAACTCTTCAGGAGTCTTGACCTGTCACCAACATTGTCAAGGCCCTCTGCTCTTAACCATTGTGCACATAGACACCATTGTGTCACTGTGCCTTTACCAGGGTGGGAGGGAGGTAAGATGGGAGGTTAGCTTTTAACTTTGTTAAAAGGTTCATGTGTGGAGAAGGACGCAGGAGAATGAGGTAGGGCCAGAGTGAATGGCTAAAGGAAAATACATTTTTCCTGGGGAAACCAGGCAATGAGGAATACCCCACAACAAAGGGCTTTGTCTGAGCTGGCTCCTGTCTCCGGGGCCTGCCCCAGCTGTTGGGCACACAGAAGATTGTGGTGACCTTGAGCGTAGATGGTCCCAAACACTGCACTGCGTGTCTGTGTGCAGCTGTGAAGGCCTCAGGAAGCCCACTGAGAGAGTGGGCCTGTTCCCAGGCTGCAGGCAGGGAGCCAGGGGCCGCCCCTTCACCGGGGAACATTGAGGAGCTTCTGTGTACGCTCTGTGTGTGTCTTAGCTTTCTTTGGAATTGTGGCAGAGTCTGGCCCTGCCTGGTCTTTTTTGTGCCTTGGATCCTAAGTTAATAACCAAAGGAGCAGTGCCCCTGTCGACACACTTGATATGGAAGTTGCTGTCAAATGGCCATTTTATCCTCGGTGCCACTGACATCACACCACGTACAGTTCTGAGGTTCTCACTTTAGTTTGACTGAATACAGCAATGATCGTTGGAGCAGAAAGAAGGCATTCAGATGTGAATAGATGTGTCGAGTAGCATGCAGATGTTTTTTGGCAGGTCGATGAATATTTTAAATCTTTTGCAAGTAGTAAGAAGGTTTGAATTGGAAATAGAGAAGATTCTGTGGCAAGAGAAAAGTAGATTTCATTTCTCTCTCAATCTTCCTTTTCTTGAAATAAACAAAACCCAGAACCATGATTTAAGTCTTGGATTTGTCATATCCCTCAAGTCTCCTTCTTCACACAGGAGTTGTGGTTATGACTCTAACATATTGAGCGTCAGTTTCTCAGTCACATTTTTTAAGTGGAAAGGAAACACTGGCTAATATTAAAAATAATAGCAGAATCTCCAGATTGGATCTTTGTCACTTATTTATAGCTAAAGACACAGGATGAAATTGAAAGAAAGGTCAGCTTCTGGTTATCTATGTGGCATGTGCGGTATGTGGGCACACCCTGCATTTCTGTCCTCCAGCCCTCCCCCCAACACACACCCCTACCCTACGTGCAGCTTGAGTCAGCTCTATTGGTCAGTTCTTCATCAGTCACTCTGTCACCGGCTCTCTTCACCCTTCACCCCTCCATCAGCAGAGCTGAAACCCCTGTTGGGCTGAGCGCTGCTCTGGAGCAGGGAAGACCAGGACGCAGGAACTGTGTAAGGTGCTGTAAGAACACAGAGGAAAGGAAATCTAGTTCTGCACGGAAGTGGGACCAGAGGAAAACAGGAGTGAAAAGGTGATTTTGTCCTGGGCCCTGACAGCTAATTAGGAGAAAACTATACTTACCCAGCAGAGTTGGTGAGATCAGAATGACGGTGCTTAGTCCTGTGCCAGGAAGATGCTGGGGGCTGTATCTATTTTCCTCCCCCTTCCTGGGATAGAGGCGTGTAGAAAATACACTGGTAAGTGCAGGAGTATGCCCCTCACAGGCTGACTTCTTAGCTGGCCTCTGCCTCAGTTTCCCACCTTTCTCCCACCAGCCTACCTCCACACTCGTAAGTCCCTCTCTGCCCTGTAGGACTACTAAGCCTCTTGCCATTCTCTGAACATGTGGCTGACACCCCCTTTGGTTCTGTTTATTCTTGTGCCTGCACTGTCCGGTTGTAAGGTCCCTGTGATGAGTACCAGGGGGGACGTCCCCTGGGCATTTGGAAATGGGAGAGCAGGGAGTTGGGGGGCTACAGGAATGGCTGCATCAAGAGAACTCAAAGTCAAAGCCTTCTCAGTTTTAGTTTTAGACTTTCCTCTAAAAACGAAGGTCTCTGTGTATTCTCCCAAAGATAGAGGATTTGATCTGATCTAAATAGTTGGGAGTAGTTCATTTTTGGCCAAGGTCTCATGCTTTGGCTTTCATTCCTGCAGGCGGTCACACATTTGCAACATTCATGGATCAGCCTTTTCCGCTTGGGAATCTGGGTCACTTCAGTCATGTTTCTCAAACAAAACATTAGCACTGCTTCAGCAGGAAGAATAAAAGCATGGAAAATGCCCTAATGGCCACAAACCCATGATTGAATACAAAGTCAACTATTGAAAATGTCTATATAACTATATATGTATATCGGTCTATACGCAGACACACACACACAGAGGAGGAGGGTGGTCTCTTTTGCCTTAAGCTTTGAAAATTTAAAACTTGAATATTCCAAAAATTTATATTTAGAATAAAGATAAAATAGAATAATCGGTCA